CGAGTGGGGTGTGGGTGGCTGTTCCCGGGTGGGTGTATGTGTGTATACGTGTGGTGTTGTATGTGTCAGGGTAGGGGAACGGGTCCGGGGACGTGTGTCAGGGGTGCGGGTGGTGTGTGTTCGTGATGGGGTGTGGGCACGAGTGGGGTAAGTGTGGGCAGCGTGTGCCTAGGGGTTGTGCGTAGGCGTAGTGTGTGGCCGAGTGTGCAGGTGTGTGCCCTGGCCGGTGTCCCCGTGTACCCCGTGCCGCTGCCATCTCGGCGTACCGGCAGTGCCAGCATCCGCGTTGGACTGAGCATCGCTGCACGGTGGCGAAGCAGCCCCTCGCCCGGCCGGTGTCAGTGCCGTGCGTGGCAACGTTGCACACAACTGTGCACGAACACACAGCGTGTGCCTGTTGCAGGGGACAGCTACCCCAGATACCGGCACCACGCGTGAACACCGTGGTCAACCTGCACCATAGTACCTCAGAGCGTTCTTTGAGTGTGGAGACACCATCAGATGGCACTGGGAGACCATCTCCTGCTACAGGGACACGGGACGAGAGCGATGCAGCGCCTTTGAATTTCATTTCCGAGGTCTGGGGAGCGGTGACCGGTGTGGTTCTTTTCCCGGAGTCTCCACAAGTGACAAGGGAAAGGAGAGAGGGGAAGGAGGAATGAGGGGTAAAGCAGAAATCCCGTGTGTCATTGTCCACACGGGCCAGCTCACACACACGCTGGTGTCTGCGTTTTGCTATCCTGAGCTGGAAAATAACGCACGTACTCCTGGCACCTCATTTACCTCTCCGTTTTAGGAGGTGATGCTCCTCCTGTGTCCCTGACAGCGTTCCTTTGCCTACAAGCTATTACTTCGTTTGTGGGTACCCTTGGAAAGAGCTGTTTAAAGCGAGGAAACATTAGAGCCAATGAAAACCGTAACCCATTTATTTGTTTCCCACTCTCCCCAGGAACGCTGCAGTCAAGATGCCTACAACAGGACTGTATAAAATGGGTGATGGAAGCAACTCTGCAACTAACTGCTTCCTTGCCAGGAACACTTTGCGCACAAGTAAAGAAGGTGACACGTCTTTAAGTGCCGCTGGCGAAGTCTCCCTGCAGAATAACGTCATGTCCGTAGGGACAGGTCCACCCTCCACCCTGTTGTTGGGCTAGATAGAGGACATATTCAGCAGTGGTTTCCTGTATGAACATCACAGCTGATAACACAGATAACAGGTGATAACAGAACTTAAAACAGTGCCCTAAAAGTCTTAAAATAATGTAAAACCTCATTAAAATGAAGAGGGCAGGATGTCCAGGGCACACGTTAAATGATGGCTCCAGCAGCCATCTCCACGTGGCAGCAGGAGGGAGGCGTCAGGCCGGCACAGGGACAGCACGATGTGGCTCTCCAGCAGCTGTGCTGAGCTAGAGCTGCTCCCTTTGCTCTGGGCTTTGAGAGTCACGTTGGTGAAATGCTTAGAAATGGCAGAAATGTCTTATAAGATTTGGGAAATGGTGGAGAGGTCTACCAGGCTAGTCGGGGGTCTGGAGCACAGGACCTTCTAGGAGAGGTTGAGGGTGCTGAGCTTGTTTTTTATCTGGCCAAAAAGAGTCCAAGAGGAGATTGTGGCTTAGGACAGCTACAGACTCCTCTTAATGGTGGCAGATGGCATAACTAGGCCAAAAATTTCACCTTGGGAGCTTTAGTTTGGACGTTGGGAAGAACTTCTTTCCTGGGAGGAGGTGCAGCTCCGGGCCAGGTTACCCTGGGAGGTGGTGGAATCGCCAAAGCCACCACTCACTGATCTAACATCGTTCATGGTTCTGCTTTGGGTGGGAGGTTGGCTTGGAGATCCCCAGAGGCTCTTCCAGTCCACGTTTCCACATCTGCAACCTATGGCTCTATTACCACCTATAAATTAGCATGTTTCCCCTCTTCTGCGGCTCTGGCTGTAGCCTTAAAGTCCCTACCTTAGATTTATGGTCACTGAACATTTGAGACTCCGGTATTTCCCCATACAGGGGGTTTTAAAATGATGAATTTCAGTGTTGGGCTGAAACACAATGCAGAGTGCAGCTACTTTGAGAAAGGCACCTTTGGCGGGCCGCACGCCCACCACACCATCTCCTCTGCCTGCGTCTCTCATCACGCCAGGGTCTGGGTGCTGGCACACAGAGACACCCCGAGGGCTTGGACTGAGAAGGGGACCACGGGGGAGAGAGCACAGCAGAGGAGAAAGCCCCCACATTCTGCCTCTGTAGAAGAAAATGATGAAGACAATATCCTAGGTGAGCCATTCCCGGTGAGTGCAGATTTCCTCTGTTATTCTCCCCCCTTGCTGCAATCCAAGGAACCAGGTGCCCCCCTCACCTGGGGGCAGCTGACGTCTGGTTTTGGGGCTCAGGTCCCAGGACACGACATTCAGGATTGCTTACATGGCTGGTGCAGGGCTAAGCATTTCTGTTTCTTTTATTTTATTTTTTTTTTCCCCCAGATGAAGCCCCACTGTTTGAAGAACCCCTCTGACCTGTGCTCTGTGAACATAAGCGGCCAAAATCTGGTCTCTGTGAGTACCAGAGACCCAAGAAGCATTAAGGAACTGCCTTAAAATTTGAAAAATTTATCACGTTAGCACATGAGTGTCCAGCTGTCAGAGAAAACACACGTCAGAAGCAGGCACAGGAAGGTGAGCCAGCCAGCTGTGAACAGGCTTGGATGATTTATCCTACAAAACTTTTGGATCGTGTCTTCATAACCAAATTAACTTGGTCTTCATTGGGTGCAGCCCCTTCCCCACTTACATCCCCTCGCAAAATGCTCTTCTTTGGGTTCAGGGATGTTCAGCTCAACTACGGTAGGAGTTGAAGTGACTTTTATTTGGGTTCATGGCTGACTTGCAATAGGTTGTTGATAGGTTTTTAGTGTCTTTTTAGGGCTCCCTCCTGGTGCTGTGAAGGTCAGATGTGCTAAATCATCGGGTGGCTACGTTTGTGGGGTCACACGTAGGTATGAGATGACCCAGGAGCCCAGCAACACGCACGGGGGAGCAAGGTCAGCAGCGAGGACGCAGAGGGGGCTTTGCTTTGGGGCTCGACTAGTCCAGGTCTTCTGGATGTCGGTCGCTGAGGCAGCTGTGCATTAAACAAATATTTTCAGAAGGGTGCTGTCCGTAGTCAGAAAAACAAATGAAGACCTAATTATGTGAAATGCTATGATTTAGGCGTTCTGAGAAAAGGAGACATCCAGTTCTTTTAGATCAGTTTAAGGGCTGGAGCAGAACGATTATTTTGTCTGTATTTTTCAGGCTAAAGACGACGATTTTGAGAAATTTGATTGCGTTGTTTTTATAAATGCTGCTGAGAACCTGCTGACACTAGGTAAGGGATTGCATTACCAAAAAATAGGCACTGCTTTTCAACCCGGGGAAGCTTACGCTTGTCTGAACAAAGGTCTAGAGCTCTACAAAGAGGTTTAGGATACACATGCGGCACTTCTTTGCAGAATTGCTTCCTTCCTGACATGGAGTTGAAATCCTTGTGCTAATTCCCTTTATTGTAACAATAATTGTGTGCCACTGTGGTACCCTTTTCATTGCTAGAAAACAAAGCTCTTTACACAGAAAATCCCCATTTAATATATAGAAGTGTGGAATAATGAAACGACTTGTCCCAACGGCTCAGAAGGTTAATGCCGGAGCTGGGAGGTGAATCCAAATCTAGTGTCATGGGCTCAGTTAATTTGAAGAAGAAAAAAGGAAATCCTTTTGTAACTAGTAAAACATACGAGCTAAATGTGCCATCCGTGGCTTCAAGCAATAATCCAGTTTGGGGTGGGAGCAAACGCATGAAAGCAAACGGGATGCCTCAGGAGTAGGCTGGTGGGGCAGCGGGTATTGTACGGAGAACCATCTAGCTGAGCTGGCATTTTCTTTCAAACATGCCCACCGACAATTCTAGTGCTCTCGTTCTTGCTGCTTTTGGTCTGTTCCAGACCTGGAGAAGACATGGTTTGTTCTGTTACTGCTGTTCCTCACTTTATGGAGCATTTTCTTTTCCACCCTTGCAGAGCTGTTTCAGAAGTTTCCAGGATTGCGGGAACTGGAACTTCCATTGAACGGACTAGGAAATCTGCAAATCACCGCTGGAGACTTCCTGCATTTGGAAGAAACATGAGGGGGATCTGAGACCTTATTCATCCCCTCCCGACCGTCATGCTGCAGCCTACACACAGCGTTGACGTATGTCCCTGCAGCGGGAGTTCTCTGAAACCGCAGGGTCTTTCTCTCTTCTTTCTTCCTTGTGACTCCAGGAAGTCTTTCCCGCTGTGTCCCTCAAGGACCTTCACGTCTTGCTTCCTCCTGCAGAGCCATCCCTCACAGATCCCCCTTGCTCAGCCCCTTGCCACAGGACCCCTTGTTTCCCCTGCGATGGGCCACCCCCTTTGCTGTAGGATCCTCTCCCTGCAGTGTGTCAGTCACCCGTGGCATCCCTCACCTCCCTGGTGCCGTGTGGTCCCCGACAGATCCCCAGCCTCCTCCACGCTGCGCTCTACCTCTCTCCGTCCCATTCTCCTCCTCTCCAGATAGGTGTCTGCAGTTTCCCCAACTTATGGGCTGCCTTTTTAACGCAGCAAAGGGGTCTGTTTGGTTTTTTCTTTGAAAAAGAGACAAAGTGGATCCCAAGAACAAGCAACTGTGCCTGGCATGATGGCTCTAGTTGTCCTCTCCCTCCAGCTTGGAGTGGGTCTCTGCTATAGAAAGCTCAGGCTCTGCCTCAGCTGTACTGACTTTGTCCAGGTTTGTTCTCTTTGAGGAGGTGTCCTTGCCTGGATTTCTCTGGTTTCTGATTGCTGCTGGATAGAAAGTTTTGCCTTAAAACATTTTTTTCCTTCTTGTGTCATTCAAAGAATTGTTGGTGGGTCAGCTGTCAGCTCTGTATGCTTGGATCCTGGCCTCCCTCCTGCCTGCAGGCTCCGGGAGGTCCTCAAATCCATGAAATGTAGGAAAGCTTCTCCCACACGCTGTTGGTAACCCACTCAAGGGTTTGACTCAGTCAGTGGGTACGTGCCCAGGTGATGGGGAACCAAATTTCCAAGGCTCATGAGCCCAGGGTTGATCCTGTCCATCCCTGTGTTGCCTCTGCGTGAGCAGCCCTGTCACTGGCGTCAGCCACGACAGGTGGGGACGGGACCTACCTAAACTCCCCCTCCTGCCATGGCCCCGTGGATCTCAGCTTCATCCATGACCAGTGTCTGGGATCCCGTTTGCTGAGAGCCCAGCCCTGGGAAGGCTAATTGGAAATTCATATTAAATTGATTTAGAAAGTGTTTTGAGCTCCTCCTGGGAAAATACAGCCTACTGTCATGCCCCAGCAAAGCTATTCCCGTTCACGTATCCCAGAAACCCTCGTCCTCGCTCCCAGCAGGGTCTGCTCCTTGGCTTTCTCCTGGCTGTTGTCACGTGTGTGAGTGGGGGGCCAGCCCCGAGCACTTCTGCCGAGGTGCGGAGTCCCACTGCTGCCAGAGAAGTCCCTGCAAGTCAGAGATGCTCACAGTGTCCCCTAGGGCGGGTGGTAGCATGACTGCAAGTCTCCTGTAAATATTTAATATCTACCTGGGGAAAGCCAACAGAGATTGTTCTTTGCTCCAGGGGATTGTTTCTCCTGTTTCCTTCAGGATCTGGATCTCTCCTACAATAACTTGTCCCCCCAGGACATTTGGACATTGGGAGATTTGTCCCAGCTCAAAGTCCTTCGCTTGACTAGGGCGGGTGGTAGCATGACTGCAAGTCTCCTGTAAATATTTAATATCTACCTGGGGAAAGCCAACAGAGATTGTTCTTTGCTCCAGGGGATTGTTTCTCCTGTTTCCTTCAGGATCTGGATCTCTCCTACAATAACTTGTCCCCCCAGGACATTTGGACATTGGGAGATTTGTCCCAGCTCAAAGTCCTTCGCTTGACGGCCAGC